ATTCAGTGCTTGTTGATTTTGAACTTACACCTTCTGATGTCTGAATTCGAATGAAAACAAATGCATAAAATAAAAAAACGCCTTCATTCATAAAGACGCAAACAAACGTGAATGGAAGAGAACCATGACCTAACATCTGTTCAGTATTATGTTAGAGTCGAATTCCGCCGATGCCCACACGTAAAGGAATTTCGTATTGGAACAATAGGATTCCATTCGCCTTACCTAATTGGCTAAAGACACCTGTTATTAGTTAATGCTAAGGTTGAAGAAATTTAATTTAGAAAATATATATTTAACTAATGCACAGGTCGCAGAAGAAATTATGTGTTATTAAATTAACTATAAGGTATAAAAAATGATATAACACATTAAAGTGAAAAAATCATAACGTGTCAAGTTTATCGAAGTAAAATGTCTCAAAAATATTTTTAGTTATCTCTTCAGAATATTAATCTCTCTATTATATAAAAAAAAGTTATTAGTACTTTTCATATTTTATTTAATTTTAGAATTAGGATAGTAGGAAATAACAGGATCTCGCCGATTATCTTACAAATTATACAGCTGTTCATTTAATTACATATGTGTTAAGCCTGTTATTTCCTACTCTCCTAATACAAAATAAAAATTTTAGACCAAACATTTAGACGGGTAATGGTTTTTTTATTATGTTGATAAAAAACTTGTTTTATGATGATCAAAAATTAGTTTTATATTGATAAAAATTAACACAGTCTGAATTAAAGAAGACATGTAAACTAAAGTTATACAATTTGAACAACGATTAGTACAATTAAATGAACAATAGTGTAATTTGTAAAATGGGGTTTGGTCCGCTATAGGACAGGGGATAAACCCCCTCCTCTCCCCCTTCACCCACTTTATTATAAAAATAAAACTATTCCAAAAAATGTAATTTTTTTTTAAGGAAATAACAAATGATCACGAAGTTGACGATTTAATTATGAACTCCAGTGCGCTAATTTATGACTCAAGCTATCATATATTTATCAGTGTGACTTAGGTTGTAATTAGGGAAAGCGTGCCAGATATAAATATATGTCCTGAGATCTGCTGAGATCATTGATGAGCATCAGAAATCCATTATTAGGCTATTCCTAAACTTGTCGATGTAACAGTGGGCAAGTTCATAAACTCAACGCTGATATCAAACATGAACATAGGAAATCTATTACTGGAATTAGCTCTGAGTTCAGAAACTTGCCCATATAGGTAAAAGGTGACCTGATGACATGAATATAAAAATTTTTTTTTCGTGAAAATAACTTTATTTTGTATTATTATAATGAATATTTTGAGTAATATGGTGTATAAAAGGTTAAAGTAATAAAAGGAAAATATCATTTTCTTTGAAATCGATTGCTTTAAATAATTTGCGAGAAGATTTTTTTCAAAATAAAGTCTAATAAACGCAAACTTAGGACTCGGAAACTTTGAAAAGCGCAAAAATATTCACAAGGGAAGTTAAAAGTAAAACGTGAATTTTTTTGTTGTTATTCCTTAGTATAACGTTAACCACGTGATCACATTATTATAAAAAATACAGTATATCCATTAAATATTCTCGTGTTTATACCAGAAAAATCTAATTTTAAGTTAAATCGAAACTAAAAAAATCATTCTTAAAACTAACTATGAAATAATAAAAAAACATAAATAAATTGCAGTTTTTTCACTAAATAAATTGATTTTTTTTTTTTTAATTTTTTGTGAAGTTGATATATTGATAGTCAACTTCAGAGATGTAACAATCGATGGCATTGTTGCAAAGAACCAGTTAAGTCCAAAACCACTAAGTTTTGGTAAGCGCCATAAGATATTATATAAAACGCCAGGTTATTCCATCATAAAGCTCAGATTAAATCAGCAAGTCCAGGAACGTTATTTTGGCCCCAAAGGTAATTTGCATTCATTAACATTGGAGTAAAAAACAGGGTAAGTTCGGACATAACTGGTTTCAGCACCAATGAATAACAGAGTTTCTATTGGCCTATGATGTAATATTTCTCACATTATTTACAAAGCAAGAAAGGACAGATGATGTATTTGTTTTCCGGTTATTCATTCAGCCAATCGAAAGATAGAAACTAATCACAGATAAAAATGCATTACAACTAATATCAGAAAAAAATGGACCTCCATGGTTCTTGAATTAAGACCCTCAATTAAAATGGTTTACTAGAATTAGATTGACATCGAGGAAATGTGTAATCTAGAACTACACAAATGTTTTTAATGATTATCAAATAAAAATACTAACTACCCCATAAACAAAAAACAAATAACATTAGTAAAAAATTAATAAAAATATGCGAACAAATATTGAATCTTTTTTTAACCGCAGCTATATACAAACCACTTTTTATCAAATGATTAACACCCATCTAAAATTTCATAAATTACTTCATTTTATTTAATCCAATAACTTTTTGCCAACGAAAATTTTAGGAAACCGGGCGTTTTCGATCTGGAGATAGATAAACGTAATCTATTTAATGAGGCACTAAAGCTCACGAACACCCATTTGCTTCCCATTAGATCATAAGATAATCGATAAAAAAAGGTGGTCTACAAAAATATTGTTTGGCTTGATCTTCATCCCTAACGGTCTCAAGCAGTAGATGTGATAAAAGGAATATCAAGGTCAATGTGTAACGTAAGATTAGAAACATAAAAGGGGGCGTCTATATTTTTATGTTTGATTTCTGAGCTGTTCCCTATAACTTGACTCCATATGTCCAAAATGGATATATAAAATTAATGAGAAAATATACCATTTCTGGGAATTTTTGTTGATAAAAAAGTTGCAGGATACGATAAGATAAAGCCATTCACGAATTTTCAGACGGAAGTTAACGATTTGATATAAAAAAAAAAACCGTATCGCGGGATATAAAATTTGCACTAAAAACATCTTTGAGGTTGACTATCAATATGCTTACATTAATTTTATAACTAAATTATTCTCAAATATGAAAAGAGTAAAGAAAAAGAAGAAAACTTCATTCTTGAGGGAAAATGTTTTAAATTGTTTTCTAACAATAATTTAATTTTAGTATCAAGTTGCAATAAGCTGTATTTCTAAATGAATAAAAACACAATTCTTTATAAACATAAGATATTTTAGGAGACTTATGGAAACTTCCCTAAAACGTTTTATCATTACGATTTCATAATTTTTGTAGGTTTTGATAAAAGCAATTTAGAATTCGAAACTTCATAAGATTAAACCTGATTTCTCTTTATTTGAAAAAAATAATTATTAGTAATAAACATCTAAACAATACTAAATATGTACAGCCTTACAATTAATGACTATAAAAATTGTATAAATAATACCTCTTCTATCACTGATTAACATCTTCAAGTTACTACAATTTTGTTTTTCTTTCTAAAACTTCTCGCATGAACGAGGAATAATTTTCAACTATTATTTTCTTTTTTTTTTTCCTTTTTTTTCACTAAGATATTCAGAACAGGTATGCGAAGAATAGGTACTTGACAAAAACAAATTTTCTACCCATTCCAAAATAAAGAAGGCATTATCATAATAAATCACTGCAAATTAAGAAAACAGCGGGTAGTCTCATTTCAGATCGTTTGTTCACGATGCTTGTTGGTTCACACAAAACAACTTAAAATATTCAAGGAATACGTCAATACTTTTTACAAACGATGAATAATATTAACGTTGTATTAAAATAATGCGTATAGGTGCCTATATTTGATCGTTTTCAATTTGTTTTATTGCAACGGTCATTGCTGAAATATAAGGATCCGTATTTTCAAATCCAAAATGTAATGTAAAACACAAAAACAGTTATAATAGGACGGTATCAACTTATGAAAATAATCAATCCAAAAAAGTTTTTTTAGAAAACATTAGTCTAATATAACAACTGTATACTCAAAAAGCGAATTTAAAATTATTTAAATAGTATCTTCCAACAACTTTTCAATATAGGTAGGTGCATTTATTACAGGTAGGAATTCATATATTTTTTATGAATAATAAATAATAAAAAAAAATCAAGAGATCAGTTCCGCTTACGGGTTTCAATTTATAGTTTTTATTTTTATAGATGATCTATTATCACAATACAATATTTACAATAGCTTTAGGTGTGTTCCCTCCTACAATACTTTTTTTATAAATACAATATATTATAAAAAAAAAGTATTAAATTTATTTATAAAAAAAATAAACAGTCGGGGAAAAAACAATACTACAATAAAATAAAATATAGACTATTTCAAATCACAAGTAATTTCGTTCTCTCATATTTATATTTGGGTGTTTTTGTATAATTAACTATTTCAGATATTAATGAATTGGACATATGTTATTGAGATTGAAAGAAGGTTAAGGTTGTACTGCAAACGTATTCTTATATGTAGCACATATTTAATTCGGGGGTGCATCTTATATATTTTGGTATAATAGGAATAATGTTTAGGCATTTTTTTTTGTTTGTATCAATGAAATTTAAAACGTATGCGGCAGGAGTAAGTTAAGATTGCTCATTATTACAAATTTATATAGAATTTTTTTTTTTTAAGGAAATAGCTTTGGTTAATGGATAGATTTAAAAATTTTCTTATGACTTGTACTTTTATTAAAAATCATTAAAAAAAATAGTGTAAATATTATCTGGATCATTTATCATAGTCCGTTGTACAGACCCATTTTTATCGAATTATTAACACCAGTCTGAAACTTAGTAAATAGTTTCATCTCATCGTAACCTTACAATTTATACAGTAGCACTGAGCTACCCCACTCCCTAGGTCCAAACTGCTCAATATTTTTGTAGGGCACCTTTTTTCATCGTTTTTATGATTAATTTATCTTACGATCTAAATAGAAAGCAAATGGGTATTTACGAGTTTTTAGTACCTAATTAAATAGAAAAAGTCCCTCCCCCCAGATTGAAAACTCCCCAATTCCAAGAGTTTTCGTTGTAGGTTACGAAGAGATGAAACTATTTACGAAGTTTCAGGCGGATGTTAATAATTCGATAAAAAGGGGTCTGTACCACGGACTATGACAAATGATCCAGATAATATTTACACTAAAAGAAATTTATATTATGTGATACATGAAGTTCCAAATATTTCATATAATTAATAACTCTTTCTTAAATAAAGTCTTAATTAAAGAATAAGTTAAGAAGTTATTAAAAATTGCAAGAGAATACAGTTCAGAACTAAATATTTATATTTAATTATCCACAGCATATACTACTGTGTATATATTAATATACTTCGGTGAGGAGCAAAAGTAAGTAAAACTACAATTTAAAAAATAAAAATCATAGTTCGCAGTTCGACGATTCTTCAGTTGACAATATATTGCACCTCGCAAACATCAATGAGTCTTTAATATCTTCTTTAGGTTCAATTTGATAGATAAATCCATCTATGGTACAGTGCTTTTTGCCAAGCCGATGATTTGTACATATAGACTTACAAACAAATAAGTTACATAAATTATAAATCTAATTAATAGACGATTATAAATAAATCTGAAATTTTACACTTTGGGATAGAGATGATTTAGGAGTTGAAAAGACCGAAAACTTTAAATGTTCCGACATTCCTGCTTTATTGAAAATAACTTAGGAGCAGGATACGTTTAGTTTTGCATGTTTAGAAAAATAATGAGCAATGAGCCGATCATCTACTAGTTTAAAAAAATAACTATGAAAGCTGTGGAACGTTTACCATTGGGTAATGCTTTCCCACATGCCTATCTAGCCTTTTTTGTTTTATTTATTTATTTTGCTTATCGATTATTATGCCAGCTCATCTGCTGATTATAAATTTAATTAACAGGTACGGATAGAACAATAAAACTGAAAAAAACTACAAGAATAAATAAAAATTTATTACACTGCTATTCAATGGTGTTACCACAATTTATACAATAGCATGAGCTAAAAGTCCAGGGAAGGAATTTCACACACACAAAAAAAAGTGAAACCTTTTTTTTTTATTTATATCTTACAGTATTAAGAAACCCCACCAGATAGAGCAGTTGAAATATATAAGAAAACAAACAAAATTGAAGAAAAAAAAAGTAGGCCACGATTAGATTTTGATATGGTGATGTTATCGTAGGGAAACGGATTGTATTTCGACCTATATCTACGAACTAGACCACTTTTCCGGCACCGTCGTTCGATGTTCTGGGCCATCAGCTGAACGTAATTCTCATCAGTTCTAAATTTTCATAAGAAAGACCTGTAGAAAACCAAGGGTAGAGTAAAATATACACGGAATGTTTTTATCATCTTTTTTTTTTGGATACGAGGATAAGGCGTGATTTCGAAAAACATTTGTCGATGGAATAACCTCAGATGGTTGGGTAAGTAATATATCAAAAACGAAAAGTTACCGTCATTTGCTCCAAACAAAATAAAACGTTATCATAGAACTGGGAAACTTTATTTATAGATACAAGGTAGGCGTTGACATTTCAGTCATTTAATTAGTTTGAAAATAAAGAACTTGATGCGGAAGAGACAGTGGAATACGACAGAAGATTGAAAGGCTCACTGAAATGGTACTTCCGCCACGCAAGCAATCAAACAAGGTGTGGTAATAATTCAGGGCTTATCAATTTTGACATGACCTATTCCAATCCATCAAGGCCCAACTTAAATATACTTGAACGAATTATTTCCACATATTTTTGGAACAGTAAATGTTTAGAATTCAAAGACATCAAGTATGGCTGTTTGTCGTTATAGGCTGCCTTTTTCGGAAGTGAAAAGAAGCATCATGCTGCTTTATATCGGATGTTATACAAAGGCAAGCAGAAATATTTGGCACTTTTAAGATACAATGAGGAAAACAGATGACTTTTTGTACCAATATAAGGATAAGTTTATTTCATAGTTTACAATTTCAATTTTTTTTTTTTAATTAATGATACTCATCCTTCAAGTTATGGTCTTATTCCTGATTGGCAGTTAGTTATTTTTTTTTTTTATAAATAAAAGAATCAAAATGTTATAATTAATAGTCCGGTTTGGATCGAGATTTGGAAACGTTGCATCATTCCATTGACTATGTCCTCTTACAGCAGTTTGTCAAATTAAAAATATTTAACTGCAGTACAGTGAATCGATCAAATCAAGTACCAGGACGTTATCATTTTATGAATCTGAAAAACAGTCTAGTGGTGTAATTACCGTCAATGCAACGGATGCAAAGTCTATGAAAGGAAGAACTACGCATAAACGGAATACTGACAATCATTTCAGACAAATAAAAAGATGAAATCAATTTTCCTTCGTACCAGCGAAGATAGGTAATTTCATCGCCGCGAATCAAATGGGCTTGTAAAGTTGTTGGGGTTAGTAACGAGAGAATTCCTAAAAGGTTAATATTGGCTGTGCTGAATGGTAAGCGTCCGAGGGGTAGACCGAAGCGAAGGTGGGAAGATTGCATTAAAGCCGATCTGAAGGGACTGGGTTTGGACGGCGAGCGGTGGAGGGAGGTGTGTAATAAGCGATTGGTGGTGTCGGCATCGAACCTTCGGGTTCGCTAACCTTTTTATTATTACTAGCGAAGATAAAGAACTTTTGTAATCATGTAGGAAGTGATAGGAAAATCTCTCTTCAGTTTTGTCAAATTCCATCCATTATTCGCTCTCAAGCATGCAAAAAAAAAAAATTTCGTCAATTCCATTTAATACTTTTGCTTATGTATACATTAACGCAGTTTCGTTGAGAAGTATTTTAAACACGGCACAATCCGTAGATATTGTTATTAAGCAACATATAGATCTTCAAATATGGTTAATGTTCTTGGTATGGTTAAACTTAAGATGGTTAATGTTCAATGGTGATGCAGCTAAGCCTACTTGGCAGTCGTTTTTAAGGAAGAATAATACATTTATGTTTATGGGTCCCAGAAATGATCTGGTTCTGTATGGTGTGGGTTCGATCCCCACCTGTATTGGTCAATATTCATTTCTCGGAGGTCCCGAGATATATGAATCTTGACACTCCCAATCTGGTAAATTCGCAGCGGCAACCTCAAGGTGGTCATCAGAGTTTGGCAAACAGGACCACGAGAGTCACTTTAGTCACTTAGCCGGACTAGTTTTCCCCACTGATACCAGTACAGTACCTACAGGATAAAGATAAAGTAGGCTATTTTTGTACAGGGGAAGGAATGCACAAAAAAGAAAAACTTACATTGAGAGGCAGTGATATCTAGTTACACCACTGAAACAGTCATTACGGCAATCAAACTGGAAAACTTAAATTTATAACTAGTCACAAAGGATCGTTCCACCACTGGCCCAATGACGACGCCATTGGCAAAAGCGCTCCTGGTTAAAAAACTTACAATAGTGGGAAAACGAAGGTGTAAAGCATCTATAATTAAGATCTATTTTTGTTGGTATTTTTTAAAATAAAAAAAGGTGTACTTGATTCTATGCAAATTACTTTTTTTTCTTATATTTATTTACTAAGCAAAAAATACATTTTGCCTCAATTAAGGGCATTAGTATTTGAGATATGACAGACTCGTTCATAACGTATATACAATTACAAAAAAATTAAAGAAAAGAAAAAAAGAAAAATTATAACAAAAGAAAAGAAAACTTAGTGAAACTGAAGAAATAAAATATGAGAAAACATTAAATAAAATATAAAAACCACATTCATACTTATTCATGTAAATTACTGAATTTTTTTTTAGTAAAATAAATAAATTTAAAACTAATAAAAGTAATGAAAAAAAAAACAACAACTAAATCTGAAGCGAACATAGTGAATGGAATTGAATAAAATTTTAAAGACGATCTTTGAATTATTTCCCAAATTTTGTACTACTTTGAAGTAAAATCACTATTTTATTTCTTTTGTATCTTAAAGAATCTCTCTCTCTATATAGTATTAGTGTTCGTTTTACAATAATTATGTAAATTATCACTCATAATTTTTATATAAAGAAAAGTTAATTCTGTTCTGGGACATTTAGCTCACTCAGGATAACAACAATAAACAACGAAATGACAATTGTCTGACATTAGAATACAATTAAAAATAAATTAATTTACAAAGTTATCTAACCCTAATATTAAAATAAAGAAAATACACTACTAGACTGATTAAATTAAAGATAAATACACACGAGTGAGTTCACGTATTTGTATAAATAAGCAGTATGGATAATACATAGATATCAGTAAAATCTAAACGGTTTATTAATTGAATGGATTTTGAAATAATTAATTATTAGCAGATCACGCAGTGTTAATCGTTCGAACAATTTGATTAAAACAGCGAAAAGGTCATAAAGCACCCTTCCATCGATTTTACACCCACAAGATGACCCGAAGCCCTACAAAGGGATGCACATCAAACGTTAATTATGCCATTGATTCCATTGTACTACTGGAATGGATTGGATGGTGAATGGATGTTAAATGTTAATTGAAGAGATACGATTTGGACATTACAACTGACATTAATGTAAAATTAAATGTAACCATTATATTAAAAATGTTTAAAAATATTGTATTTAGCGCAATAAAAATAATTATTATACCATATCATTTTATTTTTTTTATACTGTAATATAAAGATGAAAGGAAAATCAAATTAAATATATAAATAACGAACTGTCTAACAAGAAATAATTTCAATTTTAATATGAGAAATATTATTATTAGATCCTATTCCAATTAGTGTTAATTTAGTAATAATGGAAAATATTTTTAGAACACAACTTCCATGGCATAAATATAATTATCAATAATAAACAATAAATGACTCAATAAATATTACAAAGTTAAATCTTAAACAGAAACTTGTGAGTCATAGATATGTTAGATTAAAATTATTCAGACAATACGTTGAATATAACTTCAGAAATGATAAAATTTTCAATATAACAATTTATTTTTATATTAGAGAAAAAATAAAGCAAAATGTTTAGTTATTTTTAAAGAATTTAATCCATAAGATATTTCTAATTTGTTTTTACAAGAAATAGGACGATATTCTGTTATCGATTTAAAAATTATAAGTGGGTGGAAGAACGCTGCGTCATGAGTTCAGGCTTAATGGAGCGAATTTTATCAACAAAGCATTTTTCATTCAATTAAGAGCCACGAACAAAAAAAAAAAAAAAAAATAGGGTAACCCTTAGATTTTTTTTTTCAATATATAACTAAAAAAATTCTAACATCTCTTTTTATAAAAAGCTTTTGCTATGACATTCTCTCAAAATTAACAGAGGCTAAAGAAAATAATTTAAAATCGAAATTACATTTTTCAAATAGAACCTGGAAAATCAGAACTTTTATTAAAAAACAAGAAACAAAAAAAAAAAAAGATGCCTTCAAAACTTTTTAGGAATACATAGTCCATAATAAATGGACTTCAGTATACTTAAAAGCATTTTCTTAACCGTCGCCTAAAAAATAAAAAATATTCATCGAATTTTCAAAAAGTTCCGTTCCGTTCCAAAAAGGAACTTTTTGAAAATTCGATGAATATTTTTTATTTTTTAGGCGACGGTTAAGAAAATGCTTTTAAGTATACTGAAGTCCATTTATTATGGACTATGTATTCCTAAAAAGTTTTGAAGGCATCTTTTTTACTAGTTTCTAAAGTTTAATAACTTATATATACATATACACATATTATATTATAAAATTGTATTCATATATACAACTTTAGAAACTTACATCCCCTCAATAAAAAAAATGTGAGAACATCTTTTGAAACACAATTACTAGATTCTTATCTATAACATTAAGGAAGCTTTTTCTAGTATAAAAAAAATCAACCAAACTATGTAAAATTTAGAGAAATTATCAGTCATAATTTCAAAAGTAGAAAAAATTCTAAATATCCATAAATTGGTTAATTTCAAGCTAAAAGCAAGTAGGCCAGATCAACTTAATTTTTTTTCTAATTTACATGTTTTATCTATCTGTGAGTAAATGTAGAGATAATTTTCAAAACATACTGTATTTAAAGTATTGAATTTTATTTGTCAATCGATTAGTATTTTTTGGAACAAACCTCATGCTTTCGAATTTAAATTTGGATTATTGTATGCTCTGAGACTTTAATAGAAAAAAGAAAAAAAAAACTTGAAACTGTTTTTGATAATTATGTTCAAATGGACAACAAAGATAATCAATCCACGTTGGGACAAGTTTTGATTAAACTCAAGTCAAAGTTAAGAGGCGTCTTTGTCACACGATTAACATTATCCACACCAAAATATTTTAATTAAAAATTAACTTTGTCGTATTTTTTTTTTTTAACGGAACCATGGTTGTCTATATTCAAAATATTTTGTTAACCTAGGATTTTTATTGAAAACCCCTAAAGAAAGAGGAGGTTCATTTCTTTCGAAAATTGGAAACACTGAAATATTTAAAAATCACTTCTAACTTTTTTTACATAGTTTCTGGTTTTGCTTGTGCCGAATTCCATCTTTTTAATGTCGTGTTTTCACCAAAGTGCATTGTTTAAATAAACTTTTGTAGAAGGAATACGAAAATATCAATAAAATGTAGAGATAATTTTCAAAATATACTATATTTAAAGCGTTGAATTTTATTTGTCTATCACTTAGCATTTTTTTTTAAACAAACTTTATACTTTTGTAGTTAAATTATGGTTATTGTATTCTCTGAGAATTCAATGTAAAAAAAAAAAACGAACTAGAAACTGTTTTTGCTAATTATGTTCAAATGGACAACAAAGATAATCGGTCCACATTGGCACACGTTTTGATCAAACTCAAGTCAAAGTTAAGAGGCGTATTTGTCACACGATTAAAATTATCCACACCAAAATATTTTAATTAAAAATCAACTTTGTTGTATTTTTTTTTTTTTTTTTTTTTACAGAACCTTGGTTGTAATATTTTGTTAACATAGGATTTTACTGA